GACAGTCTGGGGGGAAAAAAAAAAAGAAACAGCAGGACTCATCTAAATCCTAAAATAATTTACAACATGTTCACAGATCTTGTTTTAAAGTGCAATCTGTAACTTCCTGCTCATGCTCTCCAAATTACCTTTGGTCACACTGACTATTGAACAGTTTTTATCCTCATGGTTACAACAACCACACCAATGTAGTGAACAGTGAAAAGCATGGTATCTACTATATGTGCATAAAGTAATTATATTTTGCACACGCAGTTGTTTATTTATCCAGTGGCAGTGAAAGCTATAGCCTGTTAAGTGGATGCCACTGCTTTGAAGAAACAAACATATTGAGGGAAAGGATTCTGTAAGTACATGAATCATTTTATAGTAAGTTGGTCCAGTACATGAAATAGCTTTTTTTTCTACAACATTGCTCTGCAAAATCAGCCTGGGAACATGCAAGACCAATCCTGCCTTTCCCTGTTTCTTTATTATTGAAAAATCTCAATACCTAACCAGCATCTTAAATTACAACTGTGCAAACCCACTGACAAGGTACACTTTGTACATTTTTAATGTGAAGCTTAATTTGAAGATGACGTTGCAGTGCAGCACTGCGACTGAAAATTGCTTAACAATACCATTGATGTATGAGCCATAAAAACCCTTGCTAAGCTGTCCCTGCAGAACTCAGAGTAATAAAAAGGTGTTCTTTTGCACTGAGGTGAACAGACATGGTTGACTGCATCTAGGGAGCTGTTCTGTTAAATGAGAAAGTGCCATTTCTTTCCTGTCAGTACAGACCAATTTAAGACACTCATAGATTTAGTTAGCACAGAGTACAGGATTTAATGAAATACACACATAACAACAAACAAACCAAACCTATGCTCAAAGCTTTCAATCAGATTCTGACTAGAATTCATCCTACATCTGTGACATGCGGAAAACAAACCCAGAAACTTTTCCAGTTTCACTCCTAATTTTCAGAGAAGCAGTAAAGAAGCTGATTGGAAAAGGTCTAAAACCTCTCACCTTCATTCCTTTTCAAGTATCTAGTTTTGTACTTCTACCCACATCTAACAGATGATGGTACAGATTTTCTCCCCAATTTAATTTCTGCTTTAAGTTCAACCAACAGATTAGGTTTACAAAAACCTAAACTATCAGCTGAGTGCTGTGGAATCTCTATTGTGAACTGATACTTCTTCTCCAAATGATTCCTCTTTCAAGAGAGGGAGACACAAAGGTGTGGTAAATTGACTGGGAAGCTGGTTCTCACGTGAGAGACCCCTGCATAGGCTGATTAAATAATACACAATTGATTCACAGTTTGTGAAGCTACACATGTGCCCTTTCATATAAAATAGTTTCAGAGAGCAATGAAAGTTAACTGTCTAACCTACATGCAACCTAATTTGTCAACATGTGTTCATTAACCCAACTGCCATTATATTAGAAGGTGCAGTAACTCAGAACTCATTTCAGAAGATGTGACACTGTCAGTTTGGCCAAGCAGTACCAAAATTAAAACTAAAAGGATCTGTTCTTTAAAAGAACTTCACAAAAATCTGCTTAATTTCCATAGTTAACCTATCACTAAATTTTGGATTTAGGAAGTAATAAATCTTACTAAGGAGAGTTCTAGTCTCCTTTATATCAAAGTAAAGTCACTGTATTTATGAATCAACAATTTTTGTAGTTGTTTTCAATATGAACAGCTATAACAGCAGATTTGGCAAGATCTCAAAACTACTTCCAAAATGTTTTATTGATCCACATGTCATTTCAGTCTAGCTTTTGCAACATTAAAGATACTTGACTAACAGCTCAGTGAGAGATGTTATTCCATTTTTGAAGTTGAATTATTAATTAGTACATGTTAAAATTAAAATGAAGTTAGCTACATCTTGGTTTCTTGATAAAAGCATAAGAGAAGTTTCTTTTGGAAATGTCAGATTCAAATGGTACACGATTCTCAAATGTTTTACACATTTTTATAGTTCAAACCAAAATGTGGAGAGACATTTTGTTCAGCACAAAAAAAAAGACAGAAACATCAACTTTGCAATGGCAATTTTACTGCAAACAACAAATGGATCAGTGCCTTCATCCTACTTGCCTACTCAACGTTCACCACATCTCAACTTAGTATCTTTATGCTCATGTTATCTATTCAAACTTCACTTCTTGGAAATGCTTTTTTCTGATACCATCATGTATCCCTTCAAACACATCCTTTATGCTCAGAAAATATTCCAGAGAGTACATCTAATGGCCTCTTCCCAGCCTGATCTCCTTCATCTCCTCGTTTACACTGATGTGAAGTTCAGCACCATTTGCAGCAGCATCTTTCCTGCCATTCTCACCGTTTGCTGAGATATTGTATATTCTCAGATTTCTTTTTAAGTTTCATATTCTGTTTATATGTTTCACAATTTATTTTCTACAACTTTCCTGTAGTATAGTATCTTCATCCAATGACTGACAGTCTTCCCGAGGTTCCCATTACCTTGATTCAAGTTTTCCAAGTCACTACTTTCTAGGACAAGATCAGTGCTTTCAGGTAAGAGCAGGCCCTTCTCATGTCAATCAAAAATATTTCTGCAGAGAATAATTCTGAATTTTGACGATGCTATTCTCAAGATGGCCACCAGGGTATTGAGTCTAACCAAAATGGATTTATGAAGGAAAGGTTCTGCTCGACCAACCTGACCTCCTTCTGTGACAAACTGACTCACCTAGTGGATGAAGGGAAGCTGTGGATGTGGTCTATCTGGATTTCAATAAGGCATTTGACATTGTCTGCCACAGCATACTTCTAGAAAAACTGGCCTATTCTCAAGATGGCCACCAGGGTATTGAGTCTAACCAAAATGGATTTATGAAGGAAAGGTTCTGCTCGACCAACCTGACCTCCTTCTGTGACAAACTGACTCACCTAGTGGATGAAGGGAAGCTGTGGATGTGGTCTATCTGGATTTCAATAAGGCATTTGACATTGTCTGCCACAGCATACTTCTAGAAAAACTGGCTGCGCTGCTTATATTGGTGATCTGGACATGGGGCTTGAGTGCACCCTCAGTAAATTTGCAAATGACACTAGGCTGGATGAGAGTGTCAATCTGCCTGAGGGTAGGTAAGCTCAACAGAGGGACCTGGACCGACTTGGTCAGTGGGCTGAGGACAACAGCACGAGGTTCAAGAAGGCAAAGTACTGGGTCCTGCACTTGGGACACAACAACCCCATGCACTGCTGCAGGCTGGGGGAAGCGTGACTTGAGTGTTGCTTGTCAGAAAGGGACTTGTGAGTGCTGGTGGACAGCTGGCTCAATATGAGCCAACAGTGTGCACAGGTGTCCAAGAAGGCCAATAGCATCTTGGCCTGTATCAAGAATACTGTGGTGAGCAGAACTACAGAAGTGACCATCCTCCTCTACTTGGCATTGGTCAGATCACACCTCGAGTACCATGTTCAGTTTTGGGCCCCTCACTTTAAAAAGGGCACTGAAGCGCTGCAGTGAGTCCAGCAAAGGGCAACAAGGCTTATAAAAGGTCTGGAAAACATGTCGTATGAGGAATGACTGAGGGAATTGGGTTTGTTTAGCCTGGAGAAGAGGTGGCTCAGAGGTAACCTCATCACTCTACAACTACCTGAAAGGGGGTTGTAGAGAGGTGGGGGATGGTCTTTTCTACCATGCCTGCAGTGAGAGGACTGGAGGGAATGGCCATAAGCTGAAACAGGAGAGAGTCAGATTAGATGTCATGAAAATTTTTTTCACTGTTAGGGTGGTCAGGCACCGGAATAGATTGCCCAGGGAGGTGGTGGAGTCATCACCTCTGGAAGTGTTTAAGAGGTGTCTGGTTCTGAAGCTGGAGGATATGGTTCAGGGTTTAGGGGTTAGAGCAGACCAGCAGGCTAATGGTTGGACTCAATGATCTTAGAATCAACCTTGTTGATTCTATGATTTGGTTTCCTTTGCTGCCTTCTATGGAGTCTGCCTTTAAGGTATTTCTGAAACCAATGCTAGCTATTTTCACTTTGACATTTCTCACATTCAGCTGAAATACTAATGCTCACCAGACTAGATGGCATATGCTCCCTTTTTGTTGCATGTTTGCACATGTTTGTGTCATGTTCTCCACTATCCCTCAGATTTCATTGATGGTCTCTTGTGAACACTGAGAAGGATTCTAAATTTAGACTTTAAAAACTCATTTATTAAAACTTTTATTTACCTCACTGACTATCTTGCTTAGGTTTCTACCACGTAAAAATGGCATTGAAGATGAAGCATTGTGGTTTAAGATTTTTTTGTTTAAAAAAAATCCTCCAGTGAAGAAGTGCCTAGTACCATGAAAAGATATATAAATACATACAATAATGGCAACTAGAAGAATAAAGCAGAAGTGTTTTAACCATCTCTAAAAGAAAATAAAATTTTATACTAATACCATCAACATGTTAAACTCCGTATGGCCTAACTTCTCTCGCTCCTTACATTCCTGCAAATACTTTTGATGTTTTTAACTTAAAGATAATTATTATTATTGCATCAAATGTAGATAATATACAAAAGAAACACTTCTTAAAAACACCTCAGTGAAACAGTCTTGTCCGTGATACAATGACAATGAGGAATAAAATTCTCTACATATAAAGCCCACTTGGTTAGACTGTGAAGATTTGTTAACAAATTTGTCACCTTGCACATATTACAACACATTACAACAAAATCCTCCTTCAAAATCAGGTATTAAAATAATTGACATATGACAATCTTTCATCTAGCATCACTGTAAAATCATCCTATATATCTGTTGCATGCTAACAATTAAGATCTGATTTTTTCACAAATATTTCAGTATTCCAATTTGACATGCTAATTAATGACATTCAAAATGCCAGATTAGTAAGGTGTATTTTGTCCACATGGCTTAATACAAGAGTTTTATCCAGTAAATTCTTTTTAAAATGCAGTCCTATTTATCTATAAGGAAAAGTAACAAAACTATACCTGTTCCAGTAGCTCCAAAACTGGTCCTGCAAGTAGGCTTGGTGGCTACTTTCATCACCGAATGAGGCTTTGCTTTCAATCCAGTGAATAATGTGTCCTTCCACAGCTAGGGTGACAGCAGAAAATAAACTGAACTGTGAAAATCACACTCAACAGCCTGTAAGAGTGTGTTTGGGAATATCCTATTTACTCCACAATCTACCACATAATTCATGCTTGCAACAGAGTTACATATTTATAAAAAATATCTTTCAGATATGAACCTAGGACACATAAAAAATACCAGAGAACATTTTAATGGACAATTACATCAATTTCAGTTTTATTACACCCTGATTTAGATATTTAGATTTATTCTAAGACGGAATGTAAAGAAAAAGAGATTAGACTAAGTTATATCCTACTTCCACCCTTACTTTGTTGGAAAGCAGTTGTAAGGTAAGGAATTGAAAACAGATAATTACATCAATTTTGGTCTAATTACACTCTGATTTAGATATCTGGATTTATTCTAACACAAACAGAATGTAAAGAAAAAGAGATTAGACTAAGAATAAGTTATATCCTACTTCCATTCTTACTTTGCGGGAAAGCAGTTGTAAGGTTTTGAAAATTTCTGCTGGATAACAAGAACAGTCAGCTAAGCTGGTAAAGACAGCTACTTTGCACCAATCCAGAGTGGATGGTGTAAGAACGGCAAGGAAGTTTATCATAGACACGTGTCAGCTTACTTTCTTTTGCAAAATCAATAATGTTTCACCAGAAAGAAGTTAGGAATAAGAAGGCTGATGTGAAAAATTGTGATTTTGAATTCCTTTTTCTTTCAATGCTGTAGGATTTGCTTTAGTTCATGTCTTTCCTCATTTCTTGCAGGAGTGAATTTCTAATATTAATAAAGTATCAATTTTTTTTAATATAGGAAAGTCCTCTCTGAAGTTACCAACATAATTTTGCAGAAGAAATCATATGCATCATGCTAACAGACCATTCTTCCTCCAAAAGGTGTTCTTTGGCATCATTATAGAGATCTTTCAAAATGTTTCCTTTATTTTGAGTTACAAATTAATATTCATACCTATGATGTCTTAGACTAAATTTGCCTTGGAATGAGTTTCTCAAGAACATGTAGAGCCAGAAGCACAATACAGAAAGATTACTAGAGGCTATGGCATCAAATGTTTGATCACAGACTGCAAAACTACTCCGGAAATCTGGGTAAATAGCTCATGAAGTCACCACACTAAGCTCTCACCACTACACTGCTATCAGTAATCCAGTTAACTTGTGTAGGCCTATACAATCACATACTTCCCCCACCCACAACACCTTTAGACCCTAGGAGACATAACAACTGAAGTATAATCAGTTCAGAAGCAATTTCTAAGAAACATTTGCCTTTCCTAGCTATGTATTGAATCATAAAGAAGAGAATGCAACAACTACTATACACTAGTTCAGATCAGACAACAGGTAGAAAATGATTTCCTGTTGAGTGTTTATAATACATATGTTATATATAAGATATATAATACAGTAATTATATAATAATTTAAAAAAAGTAATGTGCTATTACTACTTGGATTTTTAGAGACAAATCTATTTGAACAAATTAATGGCTGTTTATAACCCTCTTTTTAATAGGGTAGTATTACAAAAAGAATTCTTTTGGGTGTTTCCCAGTTTCCTTCCTCAAGCACTAGAAAAATTAGTTCTATTTAGCTGCTTTTCTAGTTTCCATTTAATCAGGCTCCTGAATAGCTGGAATATAATCTCACATGTTTCTAGTACAGAAGTAGGTATCTTAATAACAAGTACGTATTGTGCACGTTGTTGCCTCCATTATTGCAGAATCTTACCAATGTATACAAGTATCTAAATGGCAGTTGGTAAAATGAGGGAGACGGGCTTTTTTCAGCAGTGTCCAGTGACAGGACCAGAGGCAACAGGCCCAAACTAAAACACAGGAGGTTCCATTTGAACACCAGCAACTGCTTTTTCACTCTGTGGGTGACTGAGCATGAGCACAGGCTGCCCAGAGAGGCTGTGGAGTCTCCCTCCTTGGAAATATTCAACTGTTGTCTGGACATTGTGTTTGGCAGCCAGCTGCAGGTGAACCTGCTTGAGCAGCTGGCCACTGGCCTCAGCCATTCTGTAACCTGGCGAACTTTAGACCTGGTAAAAATCAACAATTCCCTCATCCTCTCAAGTCCTTGAAGCTTCCTGAGATTCTTCACAATAAGTATGGCAGCAAAGGAGTGAAATTAATTGAAAACTCTCCAAGTGTGGCTTGACGTGAGTGAATTGCAGACCATTAGGATGCCAAATCTTGCTGTTTCAAATATGGAGTCCTTCAGTTACAAATATATTTCCTATTTTATATATATAACCTCTTACTGACATCACTATGATTAGGTATACAAACATCATTGAGCTAAGGAAAGTCTTATAATTCAGAAGACTCTCCTACACATATTTTGTTGGATAATAGACAAGGAATGATTGTGCTGAAAGACGGTATTGTCAAGCACTTCTGAACAGTGCGGCATTTGATAGTATATATTCTAGGCTTCATAGCAGTGTACAGATCAGTTAACTCAGTAAGAATTCCAGCTGTTGTCAATATCAAGAACAAAAACCTAGTCATGAATATGTCTTGCACACAGTGCTTTCAGCCTTCTTAAATTCTCTAACAGACAGAAAAGTAGACATCTGCATAGATGGGTGCTGTATTCTATGGAGACAAAGCAGAAGTCTTTTGGCATGAAAGACAATTTATAAAAGGTGATTAATAATCCTTTACACTTGGAAAACTTGGATGTTCTTTCTTCTGTGGCCCAGTTACTAGGTTATCTGATTACTTCCTCACATGGCCTCAAGACCAGAAAAGGTAGATGAACTTTAACATGACCTTTATACATACTTTTATTCCTTATTCTTTCTTGCTATGCAGGCTTTTGAAAAACAAAAACTGCAGGATTGTATTTGGATGCAAAGTGATGACAAAAGAGTAATTGTGCAATGACAAACCTTTATGCAATGACCTATAGGTGTAATGGTAATACTCCTGAGACTGATTTGAACTGATTTGGTCTAGAAGTATAAGACAATTATAGGTATTTCAGAGTTTAGTTCAGAAAGACAGTGGGTAGAGTACATTAGAGGGAGCAGGGATTTGGAGGTTCTTATTGTTACTATTTTTTTCTTTTTTTGATAACGTGATAAAAACATGCAGAGACAAGAGGAATCACTGTGTAATACTACTTAAGATTAAACCTCTCTGACCCAAACTATAAGTTCTTAAAATTACTGGGTAACTCCTGAAGAGACTAATTTGTAGTATCCTAGATTATGCTTCACTTAAGTAGCCATAATATTTTAGCATGAACGCTTCTACACAAAACAAAATTATAAAAATGCTTTTAAAAGACTTACCTACTGGCACTTCTAAGATAAAGTCTGGTGTTTTGTCATAACCCTTTGCACGAAGCTGATCTTCAGCTATACACAGAGAATAAGAACTATTGTTTATAAAAGTATTCCATTAAGTAGACAGCAGCATAATTAATTTTATTTTAAAAAAGAGTGCAAGAATTACTAATGCAGTCATACATATCTTTCTTATGCATGCAATGCTGTGTCAGATTAAATGAACCTTTGTAGAAAACCTGAAGCATGGATATAAAAATGCTTCTTTGTCATCCTTGCATTTTTATGTCTTCATTATAAACATCATTAATTCAAGCTGTCATACAATATTTTATAACCTCCAAATATTCAAAATATAGAGGTATATTCACTGATTGAAAGAAGAGTCTCTCCACCTTCAGAAGCATTATGATTAATCCTACCAACACCACAAATGTAGATATACTGTAGCTGCCTTCTTGGCTTTATTTTTAATGTTAGCAGAAAGTTACCAAAAAATGGAACAAGAAAATCTTTCTCTTCCAGAAATTTATTTAAGCAGAGAGGAGCTATAATTTTAGTTTCTCTTGCATTCTGGATTCTATAGAATTATCCTATTTCAAAATATACAAAGATCTAGAAATTCTGTGAGTGTTAACTATACGACTCTATTGGTTACAGATATTAGAGATAAATATTTCAAGAGGTAATAATGAGTGAGCAAGATAAAACCACAAAAACCAAAAGATGTACCCTTTAGAAAAATAAAAAGCATTAAAAAAGCCCAAGCATGCCCTTAATATTTTCTAAACTATTGTCCTTGATTTCTGATACCATTACATTGGTATTTCTGAAACACCATTTCTCCATTAGAATTTGGAGTGACCTGGTCATTCAATTCCAGGCATGGCTTTCTGTCTTCACCCAAGCTCAACTAATGGCACTACCTAGTAACGAGTAAGGCTGTGTAGCCCCTTAACACCTACTGGGCTGTTGACATTGTCATGCATCCCATTCGCCTTTCTACATCACCTTTTATTAAAATTAATGGTCCATTCTCACTGTTGGGTAGCTTATTTCCAATCCATTTATCAGGTTAGGATAGTAGTTTCATAGCCAATGTTCAGAACTCAGTTTTTGAATACTTTGTGCATATCCTGAAAGGTCAGCAGTTTGAGTCTCAGTAACATTTTAATGACAAGAAAAACACACAGTCTTAGAAATCAAAATATTGTAAAAGTGCCAAAAGCAAACTCCCCTACTCTTTTTCATTGAAGAATATAAATGTGAAGTACTTTTTAATATAGTGAAATCATTCTGAAAGTGGGACAGGAGTTATTTTGGAAAGTTGTACAATCACTTTAGTGTAAACTGCAATAGCTGGTTACTCTTTTTGATAGTTGTAATATTTTTTTTTTATAAACAGACTTTATTATAGACACAAGTTTTTGCAATGCAACACTTCATTATGTCACCCAGTCAGCTACTGAAAAATAGTTTTAGGATGTTGTTGGTTAATTTTTCAGACTTAGATTGTCAGGTATACAGATAAATGATGTTAAGATTAAGATGATTCTAGTTTAACAGAACCCATAAATAGTTTTATGCCACAACATAAAAATTAATGTTCTATTTAATTTCTTAATCTTGATTAAAAATATAATAA